TTCATTTTATACATGTGCCCCCATATCTGCATATTAGACTGACATTGCCATACTTAAACATGGTTGCAGCAAGTTAGTAATCACATACTGTACAATTACACTATGTTCCAGATCAGCTGACATTTTGCTCAGTTCATGATTTCCAGCTAATATATAACTATATTGATCTAGAAGGAAGATGTAGCAATTCCCAATTTTGACTCATTCTGCAAAACGCCTTTTCTTTCACAATATGCAAATCCCATCCATTAGTTTTGCAATCCAATGATGCATACAAATGTTTATTTAGAAATTATAAATATATTTACAAAACTGACATTCACGCTTTTGCTTCACGAAGAGGACTTAAAATAATTCAGCTGCATTTTCTTCCAACATTAGATTACAAGACAGAGGCTCTAATAATTGGATAAAGCCATTGTTCAGAATCAGGCAATTCACAGTTCAATAAACAACTTGTCACAATTACTGGTTGAGAACAGAATTGGATGCCAGCACAAATATTTAGCATTTAGATAACAGAATAAATTGGTCTCTTAGGTAGATAAATTGGGCAGTATTGTCTAATGCTTCATCAGGACAATATCAAACCAAAAAGATCAGGTGGATCTTTGTGAGTACTAGCTTGTCTAAATGTTCCAACCTGTATTTATTATCATACAATGAATCGTGGAACCAATTCAAAGACTTTGACCAATATTAGAGTCAATTATTCAGAGTTTCCAGAGTCCTAAGTTCATGTTACAGGTTCAAAAAAAAGTCTCTCTCTATATATATATATATATATATATATATATATATATATATATTAGAGATAGTGACAAATTTAGGGTTTATGAGGGAAGAGACAGCGAAGTAGAACCCCCGACTGCCCAGACTACATGGGGAGCAGTGGCAAGATAGTTTGGGACTTGGTGTCGTGTTTGTTCTGTAAGGGGTACCACTTATACGTGGACAATTTGTATACAAGCATGCCACCATATAGACATTTGTACAATCTTGGAATTGGCTCCTGTGCCACCGTGCGACCCACCGGGCCTGGGCTTCCCTGAACGGCTTGTAAATACCCAACTTAGAAAGGGGGAGGAAGTCTGCTTGTGGAATGAGGAATTGCTCGCAGTGAAGTGGAAAGACAAACAGGATGTTTTTGTCCTGTCTTCCATTCACGCAGATGTGACAGTCCAAATTAACACGGTATCTGACGTTGTTGAGAAACCCCTCTGTGTCCATGACTATAACCTTAACATAGGAGAGATGGACTTCAACAACCAAATGATAGCTCTCATTAAGATTACTGATGCATACAAGAACGTCATTCACAAAAGTGTTTACTAATGAGAAAAGACTCTGTAGCCAATAGGTACCATATTCAAACGTACAGATTCTAACTCAGTTATTTAATAATATACTAATAACAGTAGATGTGATTAATGCCTGTCACTTCTTTGTTAACTCAACCCAAAAAAACTGGTATCAGGCTGACATGAAATCTCAGGTAGTATATATGTGAAGGACAGACATGAGGCCTCTACTTCTACACCTGGAAGGGCTCAACATGAACAGAAGGTCAAGCCACCATGTATTACCTGGACCTAGGATTCAGGAGGCTCAGGGATTGATCTACAGTTAAACACAAGTACGTACCAGAACTACAAGGAGCTTGCACTTCAGTACACGTTTTAGGGCAATTCATTTTAACTTCCATAGAGATTACAACAGGACTGTGACCTGTTTTTTCTGGAACTTTAGCAATGACAAAAAAAACTGAAACCCCTTACATATAAGAAACCAATAGGGGCCTATTCACACTAGTGTTGCAAAAGCACATGTTTTAATATTCTACATTGGGGCAGCCTATTCAAAACGTGTTTTTGTACACTTTGAAGCCTAAGAAAAAATCAGCAAGAGACATAACTTACAGTCAGTAGGATGTGTCCTTCTTTGTGCTGATTCCTCTGCTGTTAGTAGTAATCCTTCTCTGTCATCCCCCCAGCTTACCCTCGCTGTCGTAATTTTCTGGTGTGGTGGGAATAATTAGAACTAAAGAGCAATTACAAGCTCTCACCGAGAGCCTGAATATGCCTGCCCTCTCTGCCCAGATCCACCATTTATAGAAGTCATACTACATCTTCTATGAATGGAACAGGATCTATGAATGGAGGGGGAGGGGTCTATTAATCATCCACCCCTCCTCCATTCCTAGATCCTGTTCCATTCATAGAAGCTGTAGTACAGCTTCTATGAATGGCACAGCTGGCGAAAAAAGGTGGACATAGTCAGGCTCTCTTGATAAGAGTCTATGACAGCCCCTTAGTTGTATTTATCCCTTCCACACAAGAAGATTACAGTGGGAAGGAGGTGTGGCATGCAGGAAGGAGGAAAATTTTCACTAACAGAAGAGGACTCAGCACAAGGGATGCATCCTACTGACAGCTATGTCCCTTGTGCTTATATAATATTTTCAAAATAGATAGTGCCGCGCTCCCATACCAATATTTATCTTATACTTTCAAAGTGCTAATGGATAGCTTTCAAGATACTGCATGTATCAAACAATTATTACTAGTGACTCAAAACATCATTGTGAATATTAATCTTCATGCAAGTGACATTAATAACTGATAATCCTAAGGTGATAGTGCCTATTAAAGTACAGTGATATACAAATCAGAAATACTCCTCTATTCTACTGTGATCCTTATATTTATATTGTGCAAACACATATATATTATGTGCACGTGCTTATGATATATTCAATCTTTCAAAATAAATGTGCAGGTGGATTCTTGGTTCCCTCTCGCCGAGTGCTTAATGGTCTCCCTATGCTTGCTCACCTCTATATTTGCCTGAATAAATCCAGGCAAATACACTTTTTATCCTTCCAGGATAGATGGGATGGAATGATGCTCTTGAATTATCTCAGAAGGTGGATGTGGATTTATATATTTGTTCTCCTGTAGCTGCTCATGAGTGGGTATACTGACCATCTCTCTGAGGATCTCCCAATTCCCCTCCTGGGGCTGTTTCCTTTTCCAGTCCTCCTTATATCAGCTCAAAGGGTGTTGTTCAATTGAGAAAGGAAGACAAACAGACCATAGTGTCTTATCCTTGTGCAAAAAGGGGGTTTATTGCTGCCAGTTGCACAGTAGTATACAATTGTAGTCCAGCATAAATGTGCTCTGCCTCTGTTCCTGCAGTGCTGTCTACCTGTGTCTGTATTCAGATCACCGAGCCTCTCCAGTGCAATGTCGTGACGTCAGAGCCCCTCCCCTACGCGTATCGTCACAGGGTCACGTGACTTCATCAGGGGGAATGATTAGATGCCACGACTAATACTCCTATTTATATCTCTCGGCCGCCTTTTTACTGGAGCCCAATGGGCCAGCGAACCTCACGTGAGAAATAAGGACATCTAAAGTCACATATTGAACACCTCATTTCTAATACTCACAAGCATTCACCATTTATATGTCCCTTGTGCTGATTTTCTATTTTTAGTTTTGAGTGCACTTAGGCTAGAACACACAAAAAATGGCCATGATTTTTCTTTAATGTAGAGCACCATAACACACTGCATATACTCTGTAGCATGCTTTAGTGTGGGTGTATTGCCTACTACTGTAATAGTGCATTGGGGGTGCCAGTCAAAATTAATAGCACTACAATGCTATGCACCATGGTTTTGTGTTATACATGTGTGCAAGTTCTGCCGCAAGTTACTGCAACCCAAAAATATGAATGAAACCTAATTGATTCAGCCCACTAACATTTATCCAAAACCAGAAGTCTGTTTTGAATTCAATGACCCATTACTTCTACACTACTTCAGTGTTGTAATTATAAAAGATGCACCCTCAGCTTTCCCTTTCCCTTTGCATTTTTTTTCTTGTAATATCCAAATACCAAAAATAATGTGTTGCATTTATATACTAACCAAATTAGAGTTTCCCTTTAACTCTAAGCTTCAAGAATATTGTAATGCTAAAACTAATTATAGGACTCAGCTAGCTCAACTAAATGCATATTTCAAGTGCATTGTCTTAGTGCATTTCAATATGATCCCCTGTGTAGCTCTTGTTTAAGATAGCTGCTCTGGAAACAGCTGGCAAAGGCATTAATATTAATCTAAATGTGCAGGTACGAGTCTTGAATTAATTTATCTTTTACAAATGCATATGGTTACTCAGAAGTTTGAAAGAACATACTAAGGCCTCATTTACATGGATGTCAAGTTCCTATGGACTTTTCTTAGTAAAATCAATTCCCCAAATTTAACTAACATTGCAATGAACCTTATGATATGTCCGTTTGTAGGGCAGTAAGGAATATTATCCTGTAAAACTGCTATATTCACTTTTACTGGCACCGTGGAATCAACAGGCACACGAAAATGCATGCTACTGTATTTTAAGGCGTTGATCAGTGCTAGCACAGGTTAATAATAGTTTGAAAAGGACTGCAAATGCTTTTTCATGTTTTTAAATAAATACATCAACTTGGTATAAATAATTGTATAAATATGTGTTGATGTAAACATATTTCTATAATAAAACTGGAATTACATATGTACATGTGGGCATCCATATGCGCTCTTTACATACAGGATGCAGACTCCGTGTCTTGTTTTACAGTGCTACATAATAATTATGCTTTTGCTTATCCTTCTCACAATGCAAATTTATGATTGAACAGAGACAAACAGGTTTATGGCACAGAGCCTTTGAAATTATCATAAAGTTAAAGTGTTACTAGACCCAGACCCCTGCATTCACTATATCTGGTCTCCCACAGTACACACAGCATGGAAATGCAATTATTTTAGTAAATACAAACTGCTAATTACCTTTTCTCATCAGCAGTTAGAGCAGTCTTGTAACTTCTATCAGTGTCCAGCAGAGCACTGGTTAAAACTTGTAGGAGGAGTTTTCATTCTTCCCTATGAGGCTTCAGGACCCTTGACCCTCTGTCTGGACAATACTGATTGGCCCTGTGCTGATCACATGCACTCTCCCAAGAAAAAAAAACATTATCTAGCAATACACACCAAACTGAGCATGTGCAGCTTGTCCTCAAACCTCTGTTCTATCAGGAGATATATTGGGGACTGTGGAAGAAGGGGAGGATCAGAGAAGACAGAATCAAACATCCTTTTTACACAGTGTGGAGGATTAACCCCTTGGGGTTCCACAGTGAGTATAACAAGCATGCTTTACTACATATACAGACTGATTTTACTGTTGTGGGTTTAGTAAACTCTGAATTCAAAATAATACTAAAATTCAAACAAATATCATTACATAGTGATTCAAAATCTCAATAACAGTAAAAAGTCCCACACTACAATGTGAAAAAAGGGTGCTCTATAATAAATAAATATTTCTACTCTTCTCCTTGCTTATTACACCTTATTGCTTATTACACCAGTGCTCCACTACATGTTAGAGTCTAATGCACTCACCACAAGTGTGAATGGAAGGTCATAATGATTAATCCAAAGACTCAAATACAATTTTCAAATGGTTTGAAAGACTGATGGTACCCCTCTTTGTGGACTTCTTCACAAGACCTCCTTCTCTCTAGTTCCCTGGTCTCTTCCTCCCATGCCCGCCTCCAGGACTTCTGCAGGGTGTCACCCATCCTCTGGAACTCCCTGCCCCAACCCATCAGATTATCACCTACTCTCCTCTCCTTTAGGCGCACCCTGAAAACCCACCTCTTCAGAGAAGCCTACCCCACCCCCTGCTAACCTGCTGACCTCCTCCACTCTTCCTACCACTCCATCCCCCACAGCTATCTCCTCCTGTACCACTATCCCCTGCCTCCTAGATTGTAAGCTCGAAAGAGCAGGGCCCTCGATCCCCTCATGTTTTGCATTGTATTGGTATTGTTCTGTCACATGTTCTGTCTCCCTTTGTAATGTACAGCGCTGAGCAAACCATTGGCGCTTTATAAATACTGTATAATAATAATAATAATAATGTGGCTTGCAACTCCTTCTCAGGAGATGAATAATGTGCACTCAAAAATAAATACTATCACAGTGCAGTATTTATTAAATAAATTAAAGTGCCCATATATATATAACCAATGCATGCTCACATTTACTGGTACTCAGTATCTAGGCACCAATACACACAGTCAGTGGCAATCACCACCACTCCGCTCACTGGAGTAGGCGTGCATTCCATTTGACAACACCGTAAGTGGCGTCATAATGTGGACTGGATATGACGAACATGTTACTGCTTCTACATATTTTGCAGTTACGTTGTCTTCAGGAAGCTTCAGTAAGCGAAGCGGCGGTGGTTGTCACTGGCTATGTATATTGGTGCCGAGATACCGAGCACCAGTAAATGTGAGCATGCATTGTTGCAGAAAACCCACCAGATCACACTGATGAAGCATTGGTATAATAAGCAAGAAGAGAAGAAATGTTTATTTATTATAGAGCACTTTTTTTTCACATTGTGTTCTGGGACTTTTTACTGATAATGAGATTTTGGAGTATAGTATCAAGTCAATTAAACTCCTTGGATATTGATCTGGTCAGTTAAGTAGCAGAGGGGTTTGGTAATCAGTTTCAGATGCTTTGATGTTAATGAAATTAACAACAGGTGCACTAGATGGGCAACAATGAGACAACCCCCAAAATAGAAATGGCTTTACAGTTGGAGGTCACTGACATCCCTACTCATCTTTCCTGACTGTTTTTCACTAGTTTTGCATTTGGCTAGGGTCAGTGTCACTACTGGTAGCATGAGAGGTGATACCTGGACCCTAGTGAGGTTGCACAGGAAGTCCAACTCCTTCAGGATGGCACATCAATACATGCCATTGCCAGAAGCTTTGCTCTGTCTCCCAGCACAGTCTCAAGAGCATGGAGGAGATTCCAGAAAACAAGCAGTTACTCTGGGGGAGCTGGACAGGGCTGTAGAAGGTCCTTAACCCATCAGTAGGACCAGTATCTGCTCCTTTGTGCAAGGAGGAAAAGGATGAGCACTGCAAGAGCCCTACAAAATGACCTCCAGCAGGCCACTGGTGTGAATGTCTCTGACCAAACAATTAGAAACAGACTTCATGAGGGAGGCCTGAGGGCCCGACGTCCTCTAGTGGGTGCTGTGCTCACGGCCTGGCGCCATAGAGCTCAATTGGCATTTGCCATTGAACACCAGAATTGGCAGACCCGCCAATGGCACCATGTACATTTCACAGATGAGAGCAGAGCAAGTTCACCCTGAGCACATGTGACAGACATGAAAGGTCAGGAGAAGCCGTGGAGAATGTTATGCTGCCTGTAGCATCGTTCAGCATGACTGTTTTGGTGGTGGGTTAGTGATGGTCTGGGAATGAATATCCATGGAGGGACACACAGACCTCTACAGGCTAAACAATGGCACCCTGACTGCCATTAGGTATGGGGATGAAATCCTTTAACCCATTGTCAGACCCTATGCTGGTGCAGTAGGTCCTGGGTTCCTCCTGGTGGAACCACAATGCCTGGCCTGCCATACAAGCACGTGGGGCCATACAAACTACTGAGTACCATTTTGAGTTGCTGCAATGAAATTTCAGCAAATTGGACTAGCCTGCTGCATCATTTTTAAACTTTGATTTTCGGGGTGACTTTGAATTCAGTCCTCTGTAGGTTGATAATTTTAATTTCCATCAAACGATGGGGCATCCTCAAGTTTCTAACACATTACCCAGTCCTTATCAGTATAGATATCCAGCATGATATTTTTCCCCATTGAGATCTGATGTGTTTTCAAAGTGCTCCTCTAATTTTTCTTAGCAGTGTATAAAGCACATTATAAGTAATTAACTAAGAGGTTTGAGCCCCAGGGATATTGCAGTGAATTTTTAAAGAAGCAGGTGCTCACTATTAGAATTCTTTTAGACAAGCCACTGAAAATTTCTTCCAGTAGCCTTATTACAAATCTCTATCGCTGTTTAGCTGGCCATAGATAGATAGAAATTCGAATCAGCAGGGACTGGCTGAATATCGATCCATCAATGGGCCAAATACACTACAGCTGTGGCTCCCAGGCACCTAATGTACATCCATGTGCAAGAGCTCTTGTCATGGCTTATACAGAACCTCTCTCTGTTTGAACGGCTTCTTGGTGCTGCTCTACCCCTGCACTCTCCTTACAAATGTTACTCCCCCCCCCCCCCCCCCCCCGCATCTGCTTCTCACGCCTTTCTCTTCCCCTTCATTGTCTTTCTTTACACACACACTCATTCAAAGCAGACAGACTACATACACAATCACAGAACACAACCACAATCCACACTCACTGTCCTTGATCTGTATCAGAGAGAGCCATTAAAAAAAACTGTAACCACAGTAAAAAAATTAAAAGAAACAAAAAAATCTTGCAAAAATGTGCGCTGTCCTCTCACACTTGTCAACCTTTTTTCACTGTGGGCTCCATTGCAGATCATATGCAGAATTTACATGTCCTAAATATCGCGTGCTATCCTGAATGTTTCAACTCACCCCACATAAATAAATAACTAAATGTATGCGGTAATTAAGTAGTGGTCCAGGCATGAGGTATTTAACCCCTTTACGCCGGCCGCACACAAATGTGCGGCCTCCCGGCGTCCGGGCCTAGACACAGAGCGTCCACACACTTGCGTTCATGTAACAAAAAGCATATGTGCTGAGAGCGCGTGCCCTGCGCACTCCCAGCACACATGTCCGGTACTCACGGAAAGGTCCCGGTCTGCTCTTTTGATCGGGACCTTTCCCGATCATGTGACCGCCGTGATGACGCGTCACGGCAGTCACATGATCCCTAAACCACGCCCCACCCTCCCTGCCACCCGGCGTCTGAAACTCTTAAAGGGCCGGGAGGCGCCGGCGGGAAGGGGTTAAGAAATTATAATAGCCAATTTTCAGTAGTCTCTGCCGTTTTGGATCCGTGTTCTCAACAGTAATGCATTGAAACCTAAATATAGATATATGAAAATCATTGGGGTTGATTTATTTAAAGTATAACTAAAGAAGAACATTTTGTTTTTGGTTTTGGATAGAGTGGAGGTGGTTTAAAACACCTGTCAAGTTTTTATTGCAGTCTGTGCCCCTGTTAGGGAGATTTCACCCTCTCTATTTGTCCTGGTTATTGTTATCATTCAAAGTGAAAGTAAAAGAAAAGCCCACATTTTGGGTTGTCCCTAGAACAGTAATAGAGGGGAAATCTTTCAGTGGGGACACTGGTTTTGGTGACCTGGAGGCCCCAAGAGTTTCCATTAATTCGTAATTGTTTTGGCTATGGGACAGGAAGTGAAGGCAAATATACCCAATAGGACACAGATGGAAAAAAAACTTACAGGGGTTAAAACCCTCCCTTACTCATTCCAAATAAAAAATACATACTTGCCATCTTCACATACTTGCCATCATACAGCTCTCTGTACTGATCCCCTGCACGTATTGTCTGCCCTCATACCCTTCCAAATCCCTCCCCTGCACATATTGCTTGCCTTCATACCCTTCCAAACTCCTCCCCTGCACATACTGCCTGCCCTCATGCCCTTCCAAACTCCTCCCCTGATCATATTGACTGCTCTCATACCCTCTTCAGTCCTTCCTGCAAATACTGCCCTCTATCATACTGTACCTACTGCATTTCTCTATCATACCTACTGCATTTAAAAATACATTTTAAGGAGCAGCATAAAATGAAAATAAATAAAATGATCTCAAGAATTCAGTATCTTGCCATGGTTAAGCCTTTGGACAAATATAGCACCTACCAGATACTAATTGCTACACAGATTATAATATTTTTACGTGTTCCATTTTCTTCTCCAATAAATGTTGCCTCTAAAGAAAGATTTGAGCTTTTTTTCTCCTTTCATCAGCACCATATATTCCTGATTGCAGCCCTGGTGTTTATTCAATAGAAATCATGTTATTTTGTCTTTTCTCAGCTCCTGGAGTCATTATATCTCTCTACAGGATTCAGCACCAAATTGGATAAATAATTGCACAGGACCTTGTTACACTCGTTCGACTCTACCAAACATCTTGTTATATTTCACAAAAACGCTGCTATCCTTTCCTATCATATGCCAACTGCCAAGTAAGTCCTTTTCACTGTTCATCATTAACCCTCTACTCATCAGAGATACACACTGACGTTTGGTGTAATTTGTGTTTTATTACCCAATGTCTTATATAAAATTATAATATCCATTGTTATGGTTTAATACAGTGATGGAGAAGCTATAGACAGACATATATGTCATCTCTTTTGTTGAAAGACTAGAGATCTGCACATCCTCTTTGTGTTTGTACCTGACATGATTTCATTTATGTCCTTAGGATACCCAGGGAATAGATAGTTTTCTTTTCTAAAGGTATACAAAGATGTGACATGATCATATTCTGATCTAGCCTGTTTTTACTAGAATTACTCATTCTACAGGTCTACGGGTCTACAGGTCCTTTGTCTATGAGATCTTTGTATTCCCTGTGATTAGAGAAGACGATCTTAAAGCAGATCAAACCCTAACTGTGTGACATTGTGTTTGCTCCTGTGCATCATAACCAATTGCCATGTTGTTGTTTTTATATCTTTTTTTACATCCTATGCTGTTGATCTCTCTAAACTATTTTAGTCACTTCCTGTTTCCATATACCTATTCTTGTATCTGGAGAAGCCTCCTGATAATCATAGCAATGATTGCACCAAATGTGATATCAGAACGCCAGCCCTTACAAATAAACATCCTTTTAACTTTCCTTTATTGCATCAATTCACAAAACATTAAAGTGAATGTAAAGGTACAAATATAAAAAAAAATAAAAAAAACAACACACACAGGTCATACTTATTTTCTCTGTGTAATGGTTTTTCACAGATCAGCCCAATCCCCCTCTTCCTGCGCTCCTGGCCCCTCCTTTCTGCTGAGTGCACCTAAAGCAAGCGCTTACTCTGGGGGCACTCATGCGTGCTCACTCCTGAACGGGCCCTGTATGTCAATAAAACACAGAGAGCGTGACTCAGCCCTGCCCTTACTCCCTCCTCTTTGGCTGTGATTGACAACAGTGGGAGCCAAACAGGAAACCGCTGCTCTCGTGCACAGCTCTCAGGTTAAGTATTAGAGGGGCTGAGGGGGGAGCTGCACACTGAATAAGAGCCTTCAGGCTTTAGAACCACATCAAGTTGAAAAGTTTAAAAACATCATTCAAATGGGTTTTAGTCATGGCTATGATTAAGGCAAGGTACAGCTGAAATGCATTAGCTAGAGATTTCAGACTTTTCTACTTCATGTCCTGGAAATTAATGTACAGTAATAAAGGAAAATTAAAAGGATGAATATTTGTCAGTGCTGGCGTTCTAATGTTGGTAAAAACAAACCAAATAATTTCCTTGTGCTGGGAAAAACAGAAAATAAAAATGACTGCTGAATCCACTACACAATCTAGATACTAGATGTAAAACAACTGCTTGAAAAAAAGGGGGTGCGCTGTCTCTTAAAAATTCCAAAGTGCAATTGTGCATACAATATACAGTAACTTTAAAATGTCAAAGTGCAGCGCTTAAAAAAGTAAATAAGTGATAAACAGTAATAAAGAGTCAATAAAGCATCCACAATGTTTCACTGGAGAAATGCGAACTTCCACGGCCTTTTACTCCTTCAAATAACAGAAATGCGCACTCACCAGAAAACGCATGGATTTGCGCATATACAATCAGACATCCCAGGTGATAGGAACATCAAAGGTTAGGCAGCAGGCATTCTCATGATGGGTCATCACAGACTCCTGGGTCAGGTCCAGAGGTTCCCCTAAGGTCAGCCAGGCACTCCACACAAAAGCTCCTCTTAAGATGGCAGTGTGCTCTCTCTGTGGGAATGATAGCTCCACATAGGAGCCCCAGAAAACAGATGCCAGAGATAGTGTAGTACTTCCCAAAAACTTTTTATTCATGTAAAACGCATAACAGGGCAGTGTGCATAATCAGTTTCATATGTGAATAGAAAAAGCAGCAGTACTGACCCCAATAAAAATGGCCGCCGGGCCTCCTCGTGGCTCCGGCGGTGATATGACGTCACGCTCTGCACAGCTCCTCCTTAGGCCTTTCGTGCTACAGGCACATCATCAGAGAGGAGACTGCAGTCTGCCCTCTGATGATGTGCCTGTAGCACGAAAGGCCTAAGGAGGAGCTGTGCAGAGCGTGACATCATATCACCGCCGGAGCCACGAGGAGCCCGGCGGCCATTTTTATTGGGGTCAGTACTGCTGCTTTTTCTATTCACATATGAAACTGATTATGCACACTGCCCTGTTATGCGTTTTACATGAATAAAAAGTTTTTGGGAAGTACTACACTATCTCTGGCATCTGTTTTCTGGGGCTCCTATGTGGAGCTATCATTCCCACAGAGAGAGCACACTGCCATCTTAAGAGGAGATGCTTTTGTGTGTGGAGTGCCTGGCTGACCTTAGGGGAACCTCTGGACCTGACCCAGGAGTGATCTGTGATGACCCATCATGAGGAAAATGCCTGCTGCCTAACCTTTGATGTTCCTATCACCTGGGATGTCTGATTGTATATGCGCAAATCCATGCGTTTTCTGGTGAGTGCGCATTTTTGTTATTTGAAGGAGTAAAAGGCCGTGGAAGTTCGCATTTCTCCAGTGAAACATTGTGGATGCTTTATTGACTCTTTAATTACTGTTTATCACTTATTTACTTTTTTTAAGTGCTGCACTTTGACGTTTTATGTTTATATATTGATATTTTGAAGGCAGTGTGGTTGCCTTTAGTGTTCTAGCTGCTTTATTTATAAGAGCGCTCACTATCTTCTAAGCTGAATATACAGTAACTATATCAAACCATATTAATATAGAGAAAATAGATAATGTGTGCTCAATATATGCAATAATCTAAATAAATATAAAGATAACATCACAAATAAGGTTGTGCCAAAACACCATAATCAACTTTCACAAAATACATAAATAAACCTAGAAGAGTATATATCCGTACAGATGGACAAATGTGTGTGTATGGACAATAATAAGCTGGATGCCTAAATATGTCGAAAAACATGCAAACTTAAAAAGGTGTATGCGATATAACCCAGTACTCCACTCTCAAATATAAAAAAACATTTTGAAAGTGTATATGGGTACAGATGAACACATATACATATGGACCAGGGGCAGATTGACAACTTATGGGGCCCCCGGGCAATAGGGGATCATGGGGCCCCTGTGTCCTTGCCCAAACTCAAAAAAGCCTATGAAAAAGGTACCAGGGGCATCTCATGGGGCCCCCTACTGACCCCGGGCCTTCGGGCAGTGCCCGAGTTTCCAAATGGTCAGTCCGCCCCTGCTCGGGAACGAGCTGGCACGACTGCCCACAGAGTAAGCAGCCTGCTCTGGGAACACTCAGCAGGAGGGAGGGGCCAGGAGTGCTGGTGGGGGACCCGAACAGGTAAGTATACCATGTTTATTTGGTTTTCTTTTTAATGAACCTTTAGTATCACTTTGATTAAGTTTTGTATGTTTATCTTCATTCACATCTGAATCCTCTACAAAACTAAACCTACAAACTGCTGTGCATCAGACAAAACTCCTTAAAAGTAATGCTTGTGGCAAATGAACAATTTCAACCTTTGGCACTGGCAGCTACTTAAAAATCAGATCAACAGCCTCAGATATAAATAGTGTTACCTATAGACATGTCTGAAACACAGACTGGGGACAGAATATTGCAAAGGCAAAATGCACATTAGTCAGCTGGCATGATGTATATTCAGTAATCCATATCTGATAACAGCTAACACCTTGTAATCTTTCAAGATCCCCTGCTCTCTTTTGTCTCTGAGCCAAAAATATATTTTATGTAATAAAATACTATTTGACTAAAAAAAAAAAAACTATGATTAACAGGTTATTTTCATTAAAGAAATGTAGCAGTATACATTTTGGCCTAAATTTATGAAGAAAGATTATATCAGAAATAAAGAAAAAGCTTGTTCCTGAGGAGGCTCAGGAACAGGGGTGGACTGACAGCTCATGGGGCCCCGGGCAATAGGGGATCATGGGGCCCCTGTGTCCTTGCCCAAACTCAAAAAAGCCTATGTAAAAGGTACCAGGGGCATCTCATGGGGCCCCCTACTGACCTCAGGCCCTCGGGCAGTGCCCGAGTTTCCAAATGGTCAGTCCGCCCCTGATATGGACAAAAGGTATAGAAAAAACATTATAAAAGTGTATATGGGTACAGATGGACACATATACAAATGGACAAAAGTTAGAAAAAACATTATAAAAGTGTATATGAGTACAGATGGACAAATAAACCTATGGACAAATGTTAAATGAACAAGCATAAATACTCCAAACAAAGTTGAAGATGAATAAAGCAACCAAATGTGCAAAATGTCCATACAGATGAACAAACATCCTGGTGAACAGTCCAAAATCAAGATGGAAAATCCCAAAGGAAAAGAAGACACACTTCAAAGTGCAAGATGGAGAGCATTCAGTGCAGCAGGAATAGAGGGTGCCAGGAAATCCCACCACCCACTTGAAAGATGAACTCCTTACCAGACACTGATCCCACATGAGATCATGAAGCGGCTTGCTGTCCCACAGCACAAAATATTCAGACACGCCACTCCATTTGGATACGATCCTGTATAAGTGCGCTCAGCACGGAGGAGTTAAACAAGAAGGGACCACCATAGTGCAGTATGATAAAACCAAGGGCTTTTAATATGGTAATGTACTTACAATAAAAAGACAATCACAAGCATATAACAAATGATGAGCATCATCGCATTCCGCCAGCGTGCATAATAGTGTCACGTGTTTGGCCCTGAGCTAACGCGTTTCACATGAGGCATGATGTTCTGATGTTGGTGAAGTTTCATTATGGGAGGTGCTGCTGTGCACCACATTACAAAGTAGCAGTAAGTAATAAGAGTCAGGGCTGCTGATAAGGCAGTACAGCCAGCCCTCCAGTACAGGGCCTGGGCCCCATCAGTTTAAAAGGTGGCCCGGGCACCTGCCGAGCTGGTGGGTCAGCTATACTGCCTTATTGCTGACACCAATACTCTTGCACCTCCCCATGCAGCTCTGCCAGCTCCTACCCCTTTTTCTCCCTCAAGTTGCACTGCAAGGAGATCAGTTCTAGTATTGCGCCCCCTGCTATCTGGGACCCCTGTGTGCTCCCCTCCCCTGCAGGCTTCCCTCCTCTCCTCTGATACCGGAAGCTGCTGAGGTCACACAAGGGGATTGTTTCAGGATGGAGAGTGGGGGAGAGGGCAGTAAATATGTCATAGCAGGAGCAAATGGAATGCAGGGGGGGGTATGTGCACCTCTGGATCCTCTGCATTGTTCTTGTCACAGCTTGCCCTGGGAAAGTGCTTGGAGCTGTGACAAGTGGTGGTTATTAACCCCTTTCTAGTGCTGCCTCCCGGGAGCCGGGCATTCTGATCATGTGACTGCAGTGATTGGTAGGCACAACAGTCACATGATTGGAATGCTCCTGAACGCAAGTATGCATCAGGAGCTTTCCAGTACCAGTTGGTTACTGTGCTGGGAGTGCGCAGGGAGAGTGCTCTCAGCAACGAAACACATTTACAGAGAGACGCATATATGCAGCCTCTCTGCAGTAAAGCCCACCCACCAAGAGGCCACATATATGCGTACCACCAGTGGGAACTGGTTAATCACCAGGATCCTCTCTTCCTATGTATTCGGACACAGGGGGTGCTTTCCTGATATCGTACTTAGGCTTACAAGGCACATAGGAACTTGGGACAAAATTCTACTTGTACTTTGTAACCTGGGGGACAGAATACTGAAGAAAAATCCAATATTTTAAGGTTGTCACCAGGGCCTGTTCCATCTGTTCAGGGACAGGAATGTTCCTCCTTTACTTTGGAAAAATCTCCTCTCACTTGCTGTTGTGTCTCTGACTCAGGAGGCAAAGGGAAATCTCCACAACAAATCCACAGATAGAAAAGAAAACTGTTAGGGGTTCTAACCATTTCCTACTCTACGCAAAAGTAAAAAAAAAAAAATCTTTCTAGCGGTATGGGGAGGGATAGCAGAACAGACTGTCAGTATGTAAGATTTTTTTGTAACTTGAGAGGATTTGCAATGGTTTGGTTTGGCTGTAATACTTCACTTTTACAAAGATATATCCACTTAGAATATGCTCAAAAAAGATTTAAAACAAGACAAATCAGAGTGAAGACTATTTAGATTGTGTTCTTTTTCACTCTCCAGTAGAGTTGCCACATTGAAAATTCAGTTATCTGTTACTCAGAGGATCTATAGCTGTGTGTCTTTCTAATGGTGTCATTGCTTTTTTCTCCTCTTCTGAAACAATCTATTTTTGATATCTTGGCTCAAGAGAATATTTGCAGAAATCTTTAACAATAGTTTTAGTGCTCTTGTTCCATTTTAAGTGTGATGCATTCTGTTTTCTTGGAAGTAATATAACTGGAGAAGTAAACACTGCATTCAATTACTTCTTTGTTTTTTTCAAGCATTTGTTTCATTGTCTTACATATCTACATAATTGCTTCTGCACAGGTATATGATTTTACTAATTTTCTTGTTTCTTTTTTTATTAACTCAACTTTGCATTCAAGAGCTAAAACATACAAAATCATGAACCAGTGGCTCAGTTTACTTACAAGCAGGTTTGATTTAGAAATAAGGAAAAATATAAAGAATACCAGACAATTGTTAAAACCACCACTCAGTATGTATATTATATGACCCCAGACTGCAAAATATATATACAGTATATATACAGAACAATTAAAGGAACACTTTGAAAACACGTCAGATCTCAAGGGGGAAAAATATCATGCTGGATATGTATACTGATATGGACTGGGCAATGTGTTAGGGATGTAAGGATGCCCCATCGTTGGATGGAAATGAAAATTATCAACCTACAAGACTGAATTCAAAGACACCCCAAAAATCAAAGTGAAAAAATGATTCAGCAGGCTAGTCCGTTTTGCTGAAATTTCATTAAAGCAACTCAGAATGATACTCTGTAGTTTGTATGGACCCCACGTGCTTGTATGCATGCTTGACAACGTCGAGATATGCTCCTAATGAGACAACAGATATTTTCGGGGGTATTTTCTCCCAGATCTGGACCAGGGCCTCACTGAGCTCCTGGACAGTGTGAAGTGCGTCGGAAGGACCAAAACATGATACCCCAGAGATGTTCTATTGGATTTAGGTCAAGCGAGTGTGGGGGCCATTCAATGGTATCAATTCCTTCATCCTCCAGGAACTGCCTGCATACTTCCGGCACATGAGCCCAGGAATTATCGTGCACCAGGAAGAACCCAGGACCCACTGCATCAGAGTAGGGTCTGACAATGGGTCCAAGGATTTCATCAGGGTGCCATTGTCTAGCCTGTAGAGGTCTGTGTGTCCCTCCATGGATATGCCTCTCCAGACCACCACTGACCTAACATCGAAACAGTCATCCTGAATGATGTTACAGGCAGCATAAATTTCTCCACGGTTTCTCCAGTCCCTTTCACATCTGTCACATATACTCAGGGTGAACCTGCTATCATCTGTGAAAAGCACAGGGCACCAGTGCCAATTCTGGTGTTCAATGGCAAATGTCAATCGAGTTCTATGGTGCTGGGCAGTGAGTCAGGCCACCCTCACGAAGTCTGTTTCTGAATGTTTGGTCAGAGACATTCACACCAGTGGCCTGCTGGAGGTCATTTGTAGGGCTCTGGCAGTGTTCATCCTTTTCCTCCTTGCACAAAGGAGCAGATACCAGTCCTGCTGATGGGTTAAGGACCTTCTACGACCCTGTCCAGCTCTCCTAGAGTAACTGCCTGTCTCCTGGAGTCTCCTCCACGCTCTTGAGACTGTGCTGGGAGACACAGCAAATTTTCTGGCAATGGCACGTGCCATCCTGGAGTAGTTGTATTGCCTGTGCAACCTCTGTAGGGTCCAGGTATCGCCTCATGCTACAAGTAGTGACACTGACCCTAGCCAAATGCAAAACTAGTGAAAAACAGTCAGAGAAGATGAGTAGGGAAAAAATGTCAGTGGCCTCCACCTGTAAAACCATTCCTGTTTTGGGGGTCGTTTCATTGTTGCCCATCTAGTGCACCTGTTTCATTAACACCAAAGCAGCTGAAACTGATTAACAACCCCCTCTGCTACTTAACTGACCAGATCAATATCCCAGGAGTTTCATTGACTTAAGGCTATACTGTGATTAAAAAGTGTTCCTTTAA